GGGGGAGGGGCTCCTCATCCCCCCCTCCTACCCCGCTTGGTGGAGAGTGGTGGTGGTGGTGGGGGGGGGAGTGGTGGGGGGTGGTGGTGGGGGCGGAGTGGTGGGGGGTAGTGGGGGGGGGGTGGGTGGGGGGCCGTGCAACGCTCACGACGAATCAAATCGCGGCTGCAACTTCGCCGTTCACGTGGAATGTCCCCATCGTGGAATGTCCACATCGCGACCCTCTCGCGAACGAAATCAAAAACGTATTCCGGGTGGCGGGTGGCGGTAGGCATGTATGGCTGGCCGATGTCGCGAGCGTAACGTATAAACAACAACAACAAACAGCAGCCGTAAGCGTTGTCTTTTCTCTCTCTCTCTCTCTCGTAAATAAATATCGAGCGATTTTTTTTGTCCAACGTAGCGATTCCCCGTCGCCTGTGCCGGATACCGGGGGGGGGGGGGGGGGGTGGAGAGGAGGGGGGGGGGGATTAAAACGACGAAAGAGAATACGACGAAAGCAAGAGCGGCTATCGCAGACACGAGACGGAGGGGCGATGTCTTACGAGGGAGGAGGAAGAGGAAAGGTTGTGGCTGGCCAAGCACAAAGCAAATTCAGTATCAAAACGTGCCGAACGTATGTACACTTTTAACAAAGAGAGCATGACGTATATATACTGTGTACAGTATATATTTACACCGCAATTTTATATACGTTCGTTTTGAAGTTTTTCATTACAAAAATTCATTTTTAGCAAACAAACACAAAACACGAGTCGTGTTTGTACGCTTCTCGTAAGCCACAAGAGGCGGGCTACTGCTGCTGCTGCTGCGCAGGGTCGCCCCCTATTCTCCAACACGTGACAACACGCGCACGTGGCACGGCCCACGTGACCCCATTGTGACGCGCAGGCGACGCGCCGTCCAATAGCAGCGGAGAACGCGGCTGACGGGGCGCGCACGTGACAGTGGGCGGGCCGCTCGCGGGTGGCGACGGCGGTGGGCAGAGAGGCCACCAGCGTGCCCGGGCACAACCCAAAATAAAAACGAAAACCAACAACTTTAAAAAAGTTATAAACCCATGACGTAGGTGAAATAAATTAACACGACTTCACGAGGACGGCCCACTCTGTTCACGGAGCCCTGCACCCGAAGCCACCTCCATTCGTGAGGAGGTTGGGGCGACACATCGAGCCTCAACTCAAGATCCTCGTTCCCTCGCGAGCCGAAATTCCGCCCCCCCGCCGCCGCCCGCGTCCACAAGCCCCTTCACAGGCGCACCTCGTGGTGACGCCCGTCTCTCTCTCTCTCTCCCTCACAGGTGAGCCAGCAAGCAGGTGACGCCCGTCTCTCTCTCTCTCTCTCACAGGTGAGCCAGCAAGCAGGTGACGCCCGTCTCTCTCTCTCTCTCACAGGTGAGCCAGCAAGGAGGTGACGCCCGTCTCTCTCTCTCTCTCTCCCTCACATGTGAGCCAGCAAGCAGGTGACGCCCGTCTCTCTCTCTCACAGGTGAGCCAGCAAGGCGGTGACGGGGGGGGGGGGGGGTCAGCACAATTCTGGCTGTCGCCTGAAGCTCGTGGTGGTTGTTGTTGTTGTTGTCACCGGCGGAGGCGTCACGGTACTTGAATTGTAAATGTTTCAGGGGGTTCGACTCTCCAACACACAACCGGCGTGCTGAAGTAGTGACGAATTGCCCACGTTTTGTTTACCTGACGAACCCCTTACTAATTGGCCGTGTCGGGTGGCGGCGGGTTTAACGACACAGTCATATTTACGGGAAATTGGTACCGAGACGATTTCGTGCTGCCGGTACCGGTGCGATGGAGCGTGGTACCGGTGACCCAGGAGAGGTTCCCGGATTCCAAATCCGCCCTCATCGTCGGCACTAAACAGCGCGGCGACGAATCCCGGCTCTGATTTAGTTTGTATCTCTCTCCGTCTCTCTCCCGTGTGCTCCCCCCCCCTCCTCTCTCCCCCACTCTCTATGTCTTTTCTTTATTTCCTTTGCGCTAAAAGGACAGCTGTTGTCAGCAGCCTGACTGATCAGCGCCTGGCAAACACAAAAGATTGCATTTCTCCCGTCCAGGAGATCAGTGCCGAGTGACACGGGAGAGGAGTTATTTTCACACGCGTCATTAGACACGGACAACGCGACATCAATTCTTTTCAGCTTGATCTCTCACAACCTTCCAGTGAACCTTCGCTGCTGCTGCAGTTTGGGCTGGGAAGCGCAAATCTGCCTGGGGCCTCTCGTCCCTTAGGGCATTCTATCTCTGATGCCGCTGCCGCCGCTGCTGCTGGGTTCGACACTGTCACGGGAGAGGGAAGGGCGGGGTCCTTCGGTCCTTCGGTCCTTCGCAAACAACAAGAACCCCAAAACCCCTCTCCCTCCGACTCTCTCTCCTCCTGCTCCCTCTCCTCCCCCGGCAACCACCCGCCAACGCGCGGCCTCGCCGTCAAAATATAAAAACAAATCGCCAACAAGCGAGTATCAGTGGCGGCACCTGCACACAGCCCCCTCCCCGCCCGCATGGAGACATCCACTCCACTCACACCACTCACATCACTCACACTACACACCACACACACTACCCCACACACACTACCCACACACACCACTCACACCGCACACACCACACCACACACACTACCCACACACACCTCACACACTACCCACACACAACACACACACCGCTCACAACACACACACCACACACACCACACACACCATCCACACACACCACACACACAACCCACACACACTACCCACACACACCACTCACACCACACAGACCACACCACACACACCTCACACACAACACACACACCGCTCACACCACACACACACACACACACACCACACCACACACACCACTCACACCACACCGTCTCCAGTCTACCCCGCGATGGACACACGCACGGACGCAGTGATACGGGTCCTGGGGCTGCCAGTCGAACCCCCCCCCCACCCCGAGCTCCCCCCCCCCACTTCCTCCTCCCTCCGTCGGAATGAGACGGCGCTCGAGAGCTTTCGGGGAAATAAAAAAACTCAAATTTAGCGTCGCGATTTGCTTAGCGTCGCGATTTTGTTAATTCCCGCGATGATCGGACGCCACTCCCACCCCCCCACCCCCCCCCAATCAAACGCCGGGGGTGCGTCTCGTGTGACACGACGACACTTGCCCGATGCCTAACTCGGCTCTCCGTCTCTGGAGCTCCCCCGTAAGATCCTGGGGGAGGCCAAGGAAGGAGGGGGGGGGAGAGACGGTGCCGGGCCGACCCCACGCCGCGCGCACGTGCCGTGTCAGAATCTCAAGATGTATTGCATTCTGCATAAATCCGATGAGCCGTGAAGCTCTTTCTCACAGACGTCCCAATGAGGGCGGGGCGGGTGAGAGGTGGAGGCAACAGGAACATCTGGGAGGCGACAGCAGCAGCAGTCGCAGTGACAACGACGGCTGCCAACAATGGCCCCAAGCTCTGCCAGTCCTCGACGTCTTCAGATGTTTTCGGCCAATTAACGAGGAGTTGTAAACGCGCGTGTTTGCCCGCCTTGTTCCGCCAACAGCAGTCGCCCCAGCAGCCTGGAGTTCAAGGTGCACCTAGCCTGGCACAAGCACCCTCGTGAGGTCACCGCCACTTTGCGGCGTGAACGGTGTTGGTGGTGGTTGTTGTTGTTGTTGCTGCTGCTGCTGGTGCTGCTGCTGCTGTGCATGACCGGGAACCATTACACTCTCTTGTCACCGAGCAGGGGACGGGGGGGGGCCTTGTTGTGTGTTCGCGTGCATCTCACTGTTCAGAGCGCCTCGCAATGCGGAGAATACCGTCATGGCGAAGACGATGATGACGACGACGATGATGACGATGATGACGACGATGACGACGATGAAGACGACGATGAAGACGACGACGATGAAGATGACGACGATGACGACGATGAAGACGACGATGACGATGAAGACGACGACGATGAAGACGACGACGATGTTGACGACGATGATGACGACGACGATGATGACGATGTGCGCACGTAGACGTCAATACCCCCCCAGCGCTCACCCCGTCCGTGGTCTCCGCCGCTCACTCGCACCAGAGGGGGGAGCTGGCGTCGATGTTTGCCGCCATGGAAAACAAATAAATAAAGAGCGAGCGAGCGAGTGGCGGTGTGGGGGGCAGAAGAGGGAGGGAGAGAAACACGACTGTGGGTTTGTGTCGGAAGCCTGAGTCAGCATCTGTGCGTGACACTGCTAACGACAGCTGCCGTCTGGGAGCCGTGCTGGAGGAGGATGGAGGAGGGAGCAGACGTCGTGACAGACGAATGCAGAGCTCAGACAACAAACAAGCTGCAAATGTGAGACGCCAACTCAGGCGAGCCCTGTGATCCCACTTCTCGTCGGAGCCGGGGCAGAGATGCACCACGTGGCACCACGAGACACCTGGTGGCACCACGAGACACCTGGTGGCACCACGAGACACCTGGTGGCACCACGAGACACCTGGTGGCACCACGAGACTCCTGGTGGCACCACGAGACACCTGGTGGCACCACGAGACACCTGGTGGCACCACGAGACACCTGGTGGCACCACGAGACTCCTGGTGGCACCACGAGACACCTGGTGGCACCACGAGACACCTGGTGGCACCACGAGGCACCTGGTGGCACCACGAGGCACCTGGTGGCACCACGAGGCACCTGGTGGCACCACGAGGCACCTGGTGGCACCACGAGGCACCTGGTGGCACCACGAGGCACCTGGTGGCACCACGAGGCACCTGGTGGCACCACGAGGCACCTGGTGGCACCACGAGGCACCTGGTGGCACCACGAGGCACCTGGTGGCACCACGAGGCACCTGGTGGCACCACGAGGCACCTGGTGGCACCACGAGGCACCTGGTGGCACCACGAGGCACCTGGTGGCACCACGAGGCACTGGGATCACGTGGTACCACGGGGTACCACGTGGCACCACGAGGCACCTGGGCTCACGTGGTACCACGTGGCACCACGAGGCACCTGGGATCACGTGGTACTACGTGGCACCACGAGGCACCTGGGCTCACGTGGTACCACGTGGCACCACGTGGCACCACGAGGCACCACGAGGCACCTGGGATCACGTGGTACCACGTGGCACCACGTGGCACCACGAGGCACCTGAGATCACGTGGTACTACGTGGCACCACGAGGCACCTGGGATCACGTGGTACCACGTGGCACCACGTGGCGCCACGTGGCACCTGGGATCACGTGGTACCACGTGGCACCACGAGGCACGTGCGGAGCGAGCGGTGGAGGTGGGGGGGGGCACCCTGGAGGTGACGCCGGTGGTGGCTCCGAGTTAGGCGCTCACACACACCCACAACAACAACAACCGCCATTCGCCACTAAGTGGCGGTGACGTCACCACGACGCTTGTGCCAGGCCATGTGCACCTTGAGGCCACGTGAAGTGTCGAACGCCCGCTGGCAGGAGGTCACGGGGCAGACCCATCAGGTGCCACGGGTCTACTGACCGAGATGACCGAGAAGTCTGGCTGATGCACAACCTGTGCTCCGTACTGTGCCAACTTGCTGTGCACACACACCCACACGCACACCCACCCACACACACATCCCACCCACACCCTACACACACCCACACACACACCCACACACACACCCACACACACCTACACCCCCACACACCCCACACACACGACACGGGCCCCGTGATGGGACCGCACCTGGGCCTCATGACCGGACCCGGCTACCGGACCCGGCTACCGCACCGTGCTCGTCCCCTTGCCATTCTCCGCAGCCGAACAACGCCGACCGCGCGAGCCGCGGGTCGGCCTGCGCGGTGCGGAGCGGCGCGGATCGTTGTGTTTTTTTCTCTCTCTTCACAGAAATGTGTTTCGCATTTTCCTGGTAATTCGTCAACTGTTTCCGTTCGAATGCCGAATTTCCAACAGCCGCAGGCAATCAATCTTCGTCACGGTGCCTGCCCGCGAACAGTTGGGGTCCTTTTTAGAAGTGGCTTGGCTCGCTCCGCCTTTGACGTACGGAAATCTGAAGTCGATAATTATTTATTTCATCCTCGCACAAGAAAAAGAAAAAAAACACGTGGCGGTGACGGCTACTTGCCTGCATGGCAGGAGAGCGCTTGGGAAAGGGGCGGGGGGGGGATGAGGAGCAGAAATAAATCTTGGGAATGGTTTGTTGCAACAACAACAAAAAGACATTTGTGGGAAGGAGATTTTTTTGTTTAACAATCTTGAGAAAGTGTTGATGACTCGCAACGCTCGGCGCGTCTCCTCCCCCCCCCCCCCCGAGCATTCCTGGCGCTCCCACCGACCTCGTCCGTCACGTCCGCACGCTAGCAGCGGAGCGGGCACGGCACTCGCCGCCGCCGCCACCACCATTCGTCACCACGGAGCTTCGTGCTGCGTGGCAGGGGCCACGTTGACAATGGAATTGTCATTTTTTTCCCCACTCCTGGCAGCCTCCTCCACCACCCTGCTTCCACCGCCCCCCCCCCCCCACCTCTAAAAAAAAAATAACCTTCCGCCCTCGCGCTGGAATTTCAACTATTTACATTCAGTGCATTTGGCGGACACGCACGGGGTGGGGGTGGGAGTGGGGGTGGTGGGGGAGGAAACGCGTTGCCCGAGTTGGGTTGTCCGGGTGAGCGGGGCACAGGGCGAGCGCGGCGCCGTGGTGGTGGCTTCGGCGGCGAGGAGGAGGTGGAGGAGGTGGAGCAGGAGGAGGCGGAGCAGGAGGAGCAGGAGGTGGTGGGATCGGAGTCCTCGCTGTGGCGTCCGCTCCCCGCCGCCGCCGCATGCACCTGGACGGACCGGGGCCTTCATGCCTGAGCCGTCGTGCCTGGGCCTTGGTGCCTGGGCCTTGGTGCCTGGGCCTTGGTGCCTGGGCCTTGGTGCCTGGGCCGTCGTGCCTGGGCCTTGGTGCCTGGACCTTCGTGCCTGGGCCTTGGTGCCTGGGCCTTGGTGCCTGGGCCTTGGTGCCTGGGCCTTGGTGCCTGGGCCTTCGTGCCTGGGCCTTGGTGCCTGGGCCTTCATGCCTGGGCCGTCTTCCCAGGGCCTTCGTGCCTGGACCTTGGTGCCCGGGCCTACGTCCCTGGGTCTTCGCCGGAGCCTTCGTCAGGCCCTTCATCCCGGGGTCGCCTCGGTCGCTCCTGGGGACACCTGCGCACGAAACGGCAGACGGAGCGGGAGAGTAAATGTGTCTCTACGAGTCGATGAACATCAATGTCAACATTCTTCTTCCTCCTGTGACTCGACCAAGAAGCCCGTGGATGAATTGAGACAACAAAACAGGATTGATGAATATTCCAAAAATTCATGCAACACAGGTTAACGTTAATCTGGGTCGCCTGGAACGTTCGTTTCAATAAATGGAATCACCGAATGTGATTGTGACAACAATTATAATAACCCCGTGTGTCCTGAATTTTGGGCCACCTTGTATACAAAAGGCAAAGCCCCCCCCCCCCTTATAGCCTTCTCAGGCTGTTGGGGCAAGTGCTGTTGGCGAGCGAGCATCTTATGAAGGCCGCCAGGGTGTGTGGTGTGGCCAACACAAGGCCGCCTTTGTCTCCCCCGAGTGTTGACGTTAAACTATTAAACTATTTTACTTGACCAGGTAAGGACCCACTGAGCTGTGAAGCTCTTTCTCAGAAGTGACCTGGCGATCGCACATGACGGCTCAACCAAGTGGCTCTCTCCCCTACCACGCCTCTCCCCCACTCTCTCCATGTCTCCGTCACACACTAAATGTTGCCTACTCTTCCACTCGTCTTCCTGTAAGAGACCCATAGACTCACACAGAGAGAGCCGTAGACTTGCCTAGAGACCCATGGATGCACACAGAGACCCATAGACTCACACAGAGAGAGCCGTAGACTTTCCTAGAGACCCATGGATGCACACAGAGACCCATAGACTCGCACAGAGAGAGCCGTAGACTTGCCTAGAGACCCATGGATGCACACAGAGACCCATAGACTCACACAGAGAGAGCCGTAGACTTTCCTAGAGACCCATGGATGCACACAGAGACCCATAGACTCACACAGAGAGAGCCGTAGACTTGCGTAGAGACCCATGGATGCACACGGAGACCCATAGACTCACACAGAGAGAGCCGTAGACTTGCGTAGAGACCCATGGATGCACACGGAGACCCATAGACTCACACAGAGAGAGCCGTAGACTTGCGTAGAGACCCATGGATGCACACGGAGACCCATAGACTCACGGAGACCAATAGACACTTAAGACGATGTTTTTGTATTTTTACCAGGCAAGGCCCACTACTGATCTATACAGAAGCAACAATGGCTCCTCACAAATGACAGATCAAAATAAAGTGGCTTATCGTCGTGTGGAAGTGTACGGCGGCACAATGTTGATTCCAAATGTGGAGGCAAAAACCTGGGAGGACCCCGGATAAAAATCCACGCCACCGCGGGGAGAGAGACACGCAAATTCTAAATATATAACAGGCGTCGGGATCGAACCCGCGACCTCCTGTATACCAGGCGAGGTAGTTAACATTTCGTCACCGTGCACCCTGTACTGCCGACTGCTGGTCATCTCGCAAACAAACGTGTACGACGCTCTGCCTAACACGGGTGAGAGGAGGTCGCTGCTGCAGGGCGAAAAGGTCGTTACTGCGAGGTGAGAGGTCATTGCCAAGGGGTCACAGGTCATCACTGCGAGGTGAAAGGTCATCGCTGCGAGGTGAAAGGTCATCGCAGTGAGGTGAAAGCTCATCGCTGCGAGGTGAAAGGTCATCACCTCGAGGTGAAAGGTCATCGCTGTGAGGTGAGAGGTCATTTCTAAGGGGTCACAGGTCATCGCTGCGAGGCGAAAGGTCATCGCTGCGAGATGAAAGGTCATCGCTGCGAGGTGAAAGGTCATCGCTGCGAGGTGAGAGGTCATTGCTAAGGGGTCACAGGTCATCACTGCGAGGTGACAGGTCACCACGAAGAGGTCACTGCTTCGGCTTGGGGGGGGACTACATTTTCGTGCCCCCTCCCCCCATTCCCCCTCCCCAATGGCGACTGCTGCATCCATTGGCCCAGCGACTCCTCCCAGAGCCACGTCAAGTTTCCCAGTTTGTTTGCTTAATCCTGAGCACAGCCTCAGGAGAGCAGGGGTCGGTTTCTGTGAGTCTATGGGTCTCTGCGTGAGTCTATGGGTGTCTGTGTGAGTCTACGGGTCTCTGTGTGAGTCTACGGGTGTCTGTGTGAGTCTATGGGTGTCTGTGCGAGTCTAAGGGTCTCTGTGTGAGTCTATGGGTCTCTGTGTGAGTCTACGGGTCTCTGTGTGAGTCTACGGGTGTCTGTGTGAGTCTACAGGTCTGTGTGTGAGTCTGCGGGTCTCTGTGTGAGTCTATGGGTGTCTGTGTGAGTCTATGGGTCTGTAAGGGAGTCTACGGGTCTCTGCGTGAGTCTATTGGTCTCTGCGTGAGTCTATGGGTCTCTGCGTGAGTCGTGGACTAACGTTCAGCATTGAAGCAAAGAGAAATCGGCGCAAAACAACCGTGGCATAGGACAAAAGAAAGGTCACTGACGGACATGCTGCCTGCATGTATGTAGTACATACATTGAACTTCTTTCACACCGTACATAGCCACCTGTGCTACTTGAAGTTGCGGGGGTGGAAGGACAACAAACTAAACACAAACAAGCAGTTCCAAAGAAATGAGTTTGCCAATCTAAATTATTATTTAGAAGTGCATGGCTCCAGTGGCTGCCGAATATTGGAAGAGCGTTCCAGACGGCCGCATCATCAACATCACCTCCATCACCACCATCAACATCACCTCCATCACCACCATCAACATCACCTCCATCAACATCACCACCATCAACACCATCACCACCATGAACATCAGCACCATCAACATCACCACCATCAACACCATCACCACCATCAACATCAGCACCATCAACACCATCACCTCCATCACCACCATCAACATCACCACCATCAACATCACCACCATCACCACCATCAACATCACCACCATCACCACCATCAACATCACCACCATCACCACCATCACCACCATCAACACCACCATCAACATCACCTCCATCACCACCATCAACATCACCTCCATTGCCACCATCACCACCATCACCTCCATCATCACCATCAACATCACCTCCATCACCACCATCAACATCACATCCATTGCCACCATCACCACCATCACCTCCATCACCTCCATCACCACCATCAACACCATCATCAACATCACCACCATCAACATCACCTCCATCAACACCATCACCACCATCAACATCACCACCATCACCTCCATCACCACCATCATCACATCACCACCATCAACATCACCACCATCAACATCACCACCATCAACATCACCTCCATCAACATCACCACCATCAACATCACCACCATCAACATCACCACCATCAACATTACCACCATCACCTCCATCACCACCACCATCAACATCACCACCATCAACATCACCACCATCAACATCACCACCATCAACATCACCTCCATCAACATCACCACCATCAACATCACCACCATCACCACCATCAACATCACCACCATCAACATCACCACCATCACCACCATCATCATCGTGCATGTATGTGCAGCACGAATGTCCAACTGCTTTCGCACCACTGTACGTAGCCACCGTGCTAATCGGAGGTCACTTGGGGAGGGGGGAGGATGACGCGAAACGCACGAAGCGGTTGTCAAGAGACGCGTTTCCACGCCCGACGCGCCGCAGCGTCTCAAGAGAAAGCCAGGGGATGTCGTGGCGGCGAGGGCCGCGGATCGAGGCTCACGGCGAGGCACCACGAGCCACATCGACCCTGCGCTCTCGAGCTCTTCGCCTGGGCAGTAAAGTGGTTAACAAAAAGAACGTTCTGTTGTCAGCCAATAAAAAGTGGCAAAACACAGCTGCGTGCGTTGCGTCTCCGCGCGTGCTGTGCGTGCTTGTGTCCGTGCGTGCAAGTGGTGGCAAAGGGGAATGAAAATCCAGAGCGCCCCAAGCGGATCAAAGGGGCCGGCGGATTTGGTGAACAAAAGGCGGGGCCGCGTAAAACAGCGATCATGAAATACCAATAAACGTGGAGCACGCTGCGTCTCACTCTCGCGTCTCTCCATCTCTTCTGTCATCACACTCCCATTTTATATCGCGAAAGGGCGGGGGGGGGGAGGCTAAAGTGCTTTCTGCTGCTGAGGGTACCAAACGGTGCCGTGTCCGACGCCCGTACGAGCGAGTGTCGCTGCCGCACCGGCAGCGCCGCCGCCGCTGCCGTGCCACGCCAGCTGGATCCCAGCTCACGGCCAACATCATGAGCACCTTTCACCCCCCCCACCCCCCCCGGGGCCCTCTCCCTAGGTCGGCTCGGCCTCGACCGCTTGCCGCAGAGAGCGCGGCCACAGACATCGGCGTGCGCGGAGGCAGAGGCGGCCCCGGGTCTTGCCACGGCACGGGACGTCGCGCCGGACTTTCGTAGTGGCGCCCAGCTGAACAAAACGCACTTGCCCTGGCGGTCTGCGGAGGCTACCTGGATTGAGGGGGGGGGGGTCCTTTAGCCTTTGTCTTTGCTAAAATGGAGAATGACGAAAGATGAATTCGAGATGAAAAAAACTGTTCTCTGTACCCCACCCCACCCCACGCGTTTAATTTTTTTAGGTCATGAGCAGTCGCGCCTCTCTCTCTCTCGAGCACGCAGCTCGCATTAGTCACGGCGCGACTGATTTCGGCTGAGAGAGGGAGAGGCGGGGGGGGGGGGGAGAGAGAAAAACATCCCGAATCCAACCTGACCTTAATTTAGCTGCCTCCGAGTTGTGCACAAAAAATTTAATAATTAAAAACGCCAAATATTTAAATGGCACAAAGATGAGCTCAGAGTGATTAGTCATAACGGGTGATACGGGGGGAGGGGTGGGGGTGAGGGGGGTAGTGGGGGGCTGCCTCCATGACGTGTTCATCGCTCTCTACATTACACCTCAATCCACTGCTGGATTGAGCCCCCCCCCCGCCGTGTTGATCCTGGGGGGGGGGCGGGGGCGGGGGTGGGGGGGGGGGGGTAGCCTGTGACGTCACCCGAGAGGCGGCGTCGTGGGCTTCGCGTGGAACTCATCCAGCAGTGGATGGGGGGGGGGGGCGGCTCGACTCG